CCAGGGCCATCTGGTTGGCATTTGTGAACCTCCCAAGTGGCTTCTATCAAGCGAATTCAATGGGGGAATCCAGATATGCTTAAGGACTACATCATTTGCTTAACAACTGTGGCACAAAAGTTGTAAAATCAAGTGCAATTGAATGGACTGCATTGCTTAGGGATGGAAGTTCATAGCTGTAGTCATAAACTGAGGACTACCTCTACCCTTTTAACATCAGGTGGGGCAGAAAGTTTAGTGGTAACCAAGGGAGGTATCTGTGGCACTGGATTAAAACCCATAAACTCCCTTGGACAGTATTAAAAGTGTCAATCAGGCTATAATATTGAATTAGAGAAATGGGAAAATTTGGGGGGAATAAATTTAAAAACGACACTATCAGCTGCATACAAGGAAAACCAGTACAAAATGTTTTACAGATGGCACCTGGCACCAACAAGGTTAACTAAAATCTTAACAAATACCTCCCCAAAATGTTGGAAATGCAAATCAATACACGGAACATATTACCATTTATGGTGGACCTGTGAGGAGGCTAAATTTTTTTGGAAAAGGATCAAAAATTGGCTGGAAGCAATAACGGGGGTTAAAATAGAATGGAAACCTGAAGTTTTTTTTATTAGGAATTATGTCTGCGAAATACAAAAAAAAAATCCAGTATTTAATACTACATATAATTACGGCAGCACGGATTGCCTTTGCCCAGAAATGGAAAAACAAACTAATTCCAAGCGAAGATGAAATAATAAGAAAGGTTATGGACTGTGCCGAAATGGACAAACTAACTAAAGAAATCCAGGGAAAAGAAGAATCAGAATTCTACCAGATATGGGATAAATGGTATAGGTGGATGGAGGAAAGAAACAAGAATCAATGAAGGAATATAACAAAACTCAAAAAATAATAGTTATGAGTAAAATAAGAGTGTTAAAAATGGTGAAATCCAAATGAAATACAATAGAAGGGGAAATAACATAAGGTGAGCAGTATTGATTGATAATTGCTATTATAAAGAACAGGAAGTTCCTGTTTGTATTGTATTGTATAACTGTGGTGTATATGTCTAAATTTTGTGTGTGTGTATTTTTCATGTTTGTTAATAAAAAATCTTTAAAAAAAATAAAATAAAAATAAAAGTGTCAATCAGAAAGTACCCTTGATGTCCTTCTCGATCTGTTAATATAGAGCAAACAACTCCAAAGAGCTACTATTGAGAATTTATACAGAATTTTCCCTTCCATTCATGAGATATTCATCTCTAACAGAGAGTAGGCCTGGCTTTATCATAATTTCAATAGATGAAATTCATGTACAATATTTATTTCTATGTGTGTTCATAATTTGTTTTTGTTTTTTTTGTTTTTTTTAAAAACTTGGATAGGTGAGGTGATTTCTTGTTTCATCTTAATCCACAGATCGGGATTTTTCAAGGTATAGATAAAGGTTCTCCTCGCACATACAGTATGTGCTAGTTGTTCCCAACTTTAGGGGACGGTGCTCATCTTTGTTTCAAAGCCAAAGAGCCAGCACCATCCGAAGATGTCTCCGTTGTCATATGCTGGCATGACTAAATGCCGAAGGCGCACAGAACGCTGTTATCTTCCCACCAAAGGTGCTTCCTATTTTTCTACTTGCATTTTTATGTGCTTTTGAACTGCTAGGTTGGCATAAGCTGGGACAAATAACGGGAGCTCATTCTCTTATGCAGTGCTAGGGATTCGAACCGCCGAACTGCCGACCTTCTGATCAACAAGCTCAGCGACTTAGCCACTAAGCCAACTGCATCCTTATCTCAAGGTATAAGGCAGGCTAAATACCCTTGCTTATTTCTGGAAGAATGAGATCACCCTTTCCCAATCTGGTACTTTCCAGCTCTGCCAGATCCCAGGATCCATAATGTTCAGCCACTTCAAAGATAATCAAGCCTCAAATTGAGAGAGCTGGATTGGATGTGCTACTGTATTAAGTTGTCTTCCTGTTTAGGTGATTGTAAAGAATAACCAGGTGATATATAACTATTCAGACCTGTCCTGGGCATTGTCACCCTCCATATTTCCTCCAAGATGTTTTATTTATTTATTTTGGAAAAATTTTATAGCAACCTACTTGCTCATGGGGACTCTATGTTGCAATATATATATCTTTAGATTTTTATCCCTTCTCATGGTACTTGTGATATGCATTTAGCTGGCTCCCTCGTGTGACGGGAATTGGTATTAGACATGACAAAATGCAAATTACAGGTAGTCCTTTACTTATGACAGGAACTGAGCCCAAAATTTCCATTACTAAGTAAGACAGCTGTTAAATTAATTTTACCCCATTTTACGACCTTGCTTGCCAGAGTTGTTAAGTGAATCACTGCAGGTATTAAGTTAGTAACCGGGTTATTAAGCGAATCTGGCTTCCCCATTGATTTTGCTTGCCAGAAAGTCGCAAAAGGTGATCACATGACCCCAGGACACTGTAACTATCATAAATATAACCAGTTGTGAAGTGTTTGCAGCCATCTTTAGCTTTCTTGTTTAAAGTGGTATTTCTCATCTTCTTTCAACACAACTGTTGCTCCGGAAATTTTCTAGACACGCTTCCCTAAGGATGTTGTTGACAGTGAGTTCAAGAGTTGGAACCCAGCGGGGCTTGACGCCCCACAACATGACATGCAATCTTGGGATTCGAGGATTGCTGTCAATATCTCTGTTGCTGGACGATCCTTTTGGATCTAAACCGTTCTGAAGGAACGGTGATAGAGAAGAGCATGTCCCTGATCTATCTAGGAGGAAGCTCTTTTTGCCGGCTACAAGAGAAGCAGTCAAAATGGCTGTAGAAGGTTGGGACAGTCCCCTGAAACAGAAGCAAAACAGGAGAGACAGTGTGTTGAAATGGTGAGAAAAATCCTTATTATTAGAGAAGAGAAAACCGAGAAGACTTAGTTAAAATAAAATTGAAGACAGAAGGAAGTAAGCGGCGAATTAACACTGGTTTAAAACTATAGTGTTATCCTTTTCACTTTAATTTTTTTTTGTCTGTTTTCTAGGAATGGATTTTTTACAAATGCCTCTTACTTTTAAACTGGGCTGGTCTTTTTTTCCTTCTTCCTCTATATTTCTTCCATTTTTTGTATTTGTGGATTAAAAGTTTCTTTACTCACAAGGCTCGATCAGATCGTAATCTTTAAACATTTTTTTCTTCTGTTCCGGAGTTCGGAGTTTAGAAAGAGAGGCAAAAACAGAGGGAAAGAATGTAACACTGCCATCTAGAGGCTAGGTAACATCTGATAATACAAAGCTATTGGCTTTGTTTCCTGAAAGGTCAGTGGCTATACAGGTGCTCCTTTGAAGGAAAGAGAAAGCTTTGACCTGAAAAACTTTACTGAATTTGTTTGAAACCTAGCAAAAGCCTTGGATGTTTTAGTGGCNGGCACCCCATAATTGAGGGGCCTAGGAGTCGACCTCTGTCCTCCGACCAACACCGACTGCGACCTGTTGGAGAGGTAAGAGGAGAACCACCGGAGAACGGTGCCTCCCAGTCCCACTTCTTCCAGCCGTCGCAGAAGGATACCATCGTTGATGGTATCGAAGGCCGCTGAGAGGTCAAGGAGCACAAGGACAGAGGAATGACCTCTGTCCCTGGCCCGCCAGAGATCATCGGTCAGAGCGACCAAAGCGGTTTCGGTGGAGCAACTAGGTCTGAAACCAGACTGAAAAGGGTTTAGATAATCTGCTTCATCCAAGGTCCGTCGGAGTTGGAGGGCCATTTTCCCCCTTACAAGAGGGAGTCTCTTTGTGGAGTACTGTGAAGCCGTTATCATGGCAACTCCTCTGCGCTGTACAGTAGAAGCCATTTTAAGGCACAAAAGGTTGCATCTTAACAGAACACACCCCAAGGGGTGTTAGCAGTGTCTTACCCTCACAGTATTTTTTTCCAGAGAGTAAGCCATCTCTGTGTACCAAGCTTGGTTGAAATTGCTCGAGGGGTTCCAGAGTTATGCTGGAACACACACACACACACACACACAAACACACACACACGTATATGTGTATGTATGTATGTATGTGTATGTGTTTACACACACACACACACACACACACACACATATATATATATATATACACACACACACACACACACACATCTGTGTGTCTATGTATATGTGTATGTATATTCAATGGGAAAGCATACTTAATACTCCTTTCTCCTATTTTCCCCACAACAACAACCACCCCGCGAGGTTTTTCAAGCCTAAAATGGGAGTAGAACTCCCAGCCTCCTGGTTTCTAGGCCAACACCCTAATCAGTACATGGAAGAGGAAGATTAGTATTTCAAATCATAAGGAAGTATTAAATCGGGAAACCTATTTTTCCTTGGGATCAATCTGAAAATTTATACCCACATTCCTGCCCCATCTGTAATTGGATCATTATATCATAGTGTTTGCTTGTATTCGTTGATTTATGTTTTAGTATATATATATGTATATTTAGTATATGTGTATACAGGTATATATAGATATATTTAGGCTATATGTATATTTTGTGATGATGCTTATATTTTTGGATTCTTGGGGCTCTCTGAGCTTGCTTATTTTCCAGCAGATATTTCGTACCAGTTCTAGTCCTAGCACTGGTCATGTTGCCTGGTTTGGGTAAGGAAACGTCTGCAAGAAAACAAGCAAGCTCAGAGAGCACCAAAGACCCCCTCATTTCCCCCCCCCCCCAGCTACAAATATTCTCCTTTATTGATATGTATATTTATTTTGTAATATAGGATTGTAAGCCAGCCAGAGTTACCATTAAGATGGNTGGAGAAACAATAGTAAGCAAACAAATGAAGTATAATAATAATGTACACAAAGATATTTGATTGACAATATGTGAATTTTGATAAAGCTCAAGTGGAGCTTGACTATGGAAAGGACGCGGAAAGACCTTGTAACCAATCGACACACTGTATGCTGTTGAAGAGGTTTTTATGTTATATGTCTTGTGTGTTTGTGTTTGTTTGAAAATAAAAAAAAATATTTAAAAAAAAGAGTTGGAACCTGACCAGATCCTTTTGAACCCTTCAGTCTCCTGCAGATGTGCTCCTCCCTTGCACACTGTCCTCCATGACCATGTTGGCTTAGCTTGCAGGAGGGCCCAGGCATCTTGGCTTCCCTAGAGACATCTTCCTTCATAATGCCTGTCTGCCGTTTCCCAAAGCATCTGTCAGGTGGGCATCTTACATATCCTTGTTTAGCATAGTCAACATGCTGAATCTGTGTTTAGAAATCAGGGTTTATGCTTTTGAGAGAACATTGGCCCTGGGCTGCATGGAAAGTCACTTCAAACTGGAAAAGAAATGTGCATTCTGCCCAGTGGTTTGATTCAAACTTTTTACTACCGGTTTTGTAGGCGTGGCTTTGTGGGCGTGGCTTTGTGAGCATGGCTTTGTGGGCATGGCAAGGGAAGGATACTGCAAAATCCCCATTCACTCCCCACTCCTGGGGGAAGGTTACTACAAAATCCCCATTCCCTCCTCACCTCACTAACCTGCTTTCCAGCTCTGTTCTCCTGTGCAGGGCAACAAAATAAGATCAGCTGGGAGCCGGCAGGGCAGGGCCAGCCTATTTGCCAGTTCTCTGAACTACTCAAAATTTCCACTACCGGTTTTCCAGAACTGTCAGAATTGGCTGAATACCACTTCTGCTTCTGCCATTTCTATCCCCAGTGAGTGCATTAGATTTCCCCCCCCCCTCTTCAGACAGGACCTTTACTGAGCCACATTATATCTTTTGTTCTTTTCATCACTTTCTGGGATGTGGGGGGGGGGGGAGATTGCTTTTGTGTCTAAGCACAGCTACGTGCAGCTCTGCCAAAGTACAGCTGTGTATTCATTTGCAACAGTTAATTCTGATTCTCACTGTTCATTGATTGCTTCCTCCTCCAGATCTATGACCTGCTAATCAGGTTGCTTTAGGACCTGTGTTTAATGCACTTTGAGAAAAGCACTACACCCATGTTCAGAAATGGCCCAATGGACAGGTAATGGGGTGGAACAACTCCCCACCTGCAATTGTTAGTTGGGGAATTTAAGCTGGCTAAGCATTCAGATTCATCTGGCTCTACTTCACCAGATTAAGGAAAGTGACAAGTGACAGTGTTTCCTTTGAGCAGGAAAGTGAAACCAGAGAAAACTCACAATTCCTTTGCTTAACTTGTCCTGCATTAAAACAGTACCTTTTGCTGTCCTAATTATCAAGATAAAAATGGGAATGAAGGCAACATTATTTATTATTAGATTTTTATCCTGCCCTTTTAATATATATAAGTGAAGGCATGCCTAATATTCCTTCTTCCTCCATACCTTTGAGAGGGGTTGGATTGAGTAAGTGAGTGGCTGGCCCAAAGTCCCCCAACCAGCTGGCTTTCATGCCTAAGGCAGGACTAGAATTCCCAGACTCCTGGTTTCTTGGCCAAGACCTTAACCGCTAGACTAAATTGGCTCTCTTGATGTCAGTATATCTTTTCTACCAGATCATGGATTGGAGAAAAGCACTTGACTGTGTGTCTATGGCTGTTCTCTCAGTAGATCCAGGCCTTGAGGCTGGACATTTATGCTCTGGGTTGTCTTTGACAACTTTGACTACAATGCTAACGAACATAAATTATAAAGTACACACGTAGAGACATATAAAATAAACACCAGCATCAATCAGCATACAGGAATGATGGTTCTCTAGATGTTATTGAATTGCACTTCCCAGTGACCAGTATAGACTACGGCAGGGATGTCCAAACTTGGGGACTTTAAGACTTGTGGACTTCAACTCCCAGAATTCCCAGACAGCATGGGGAATTCTGGGAGTTAAAGTCCACAAGTCTTAAAGTTCCCAAGTTTGGACACCCCTGGACTATGGGGAACGGTTCTGGAACCTATACGTCAGCAATAGTACATCTATAGGGCCATGGGTTGTCCATCTCTGAGGGAGATTGTTCAAACAACAGGTAGGATGAAAAATAGCAGACAATCATCACAAGTGAGTAATAATAGGTAATAATAGGAGTAATAGGTGAACAAAATACCATATCCAGTCTAAACAACTGACTCATAAGCTTTAATGCAATACTATAAGTGTGCTTACTTTTCAACTACCAACTTTTGGAAAATAAGGAATTGTACCCATGCAAAGTAATGGCCGTTCTGATTTGGTGATTAAAGCTACAGAAATGATTAAAAACCAGCCCCAAATTTTAGCCTAGATACTTCCCAACAGTGTCATCAACCTTCAAACACCATACCTGCAAGGAAGAACTCTGGCCATACCAAGCAGGCATCTCCCACACATGCGAACAAGAGACCAATGAAAATCCACCGGGAATACAGTTTGAGGTTGCCTCCATTTTTGGACTGAGTGGCCACGAAGAACGCCAGGGAGAACGTGGGGAGGCACTTTATGACAGTGCTCTTCAAGCTGGGCTCAGGGAGCAAAAGAACGAAATAGATGATGCAGGAGACCACAAATGGCAGGAGCCTAAGCAGCATGGTTCTCTTCTAAGATAGGGCAAGTGGGAAGAGGGAGAAAGAAGAAAAAATAAATGAAAAAACACACACACACACACACAACACATACTGTTTTGTTGCATTCTCAATTTGCTTTGCTGGAATGAGAAATGTCTGCAGTGCATTGTTAAAAAAAGCATCAAGATGGCAGCTTCAACAGTGCGACCAGAGCTTCACCTGTTTGTAAATGCACATTGTGACACATATCCAAATGGGTGACACTTCGATCTTACTGTCCATCTTGACTTTTATCTACCATTCCCTGTAGACAAGAAAGAGATCAAAACTAAGGAATGATATCCCAAGACTGGAATTTTGTGAGTGGTGGGTCCCATCCTAAATGGAATATTGTGGACATAATGCTTTATAAATATTGTTCTTAACAATTAATCTTATTCATTATTCCCTCTCTTCTCTTTTTCTCTTCCACTACGTTTTTCCACAGCTGGAATCTCAGCTGGCGGTGAGGAATTTCAACATACCTTGCCCTAAATTATGCCACACCCATTATTCTGGGTGTTCACAAATTTTAAAGAAAAATCATGGGGAATGGACCAGTTGTACTGGTTCATCTACTTACTAGCATTTAGAAGCAACTACTCAAACATGCTAATAAGCAAGCAGAAAGGGAAACTCAATTAATTGTATGATGAATATGATGCCACTACATATAATGTTATTTATCTTAATCAGACTACAGTTGAGGTAATAATAGGATTTGTACCCATTATTAGAGGTGTGGATGATGAAGACTTGGAGTCACTGGGTATAAGTTGGGTGGCTATATAAAGTTGTTTAATGAATGAATGAATGAATGAATGAATGAATGAATGAATGAATGAATGAATGAATGAATGTCAGTTTCTTTTATGGACAGTGGCTCTGAGATTCATACAGACTTCAACCTTTCAGCTTGGGTGGAACTGATGACCAGATTATATGCTAAAGAATGTTTTTTTATACTTGGATCATTCAGAGGCAATACTATTATGCCAGCACAGAATATGGATACCCCACAGTCAGTGTTCAGGGAAGAATGCTAATTATTCATCTCCTTATTAATTCATTACATTGGGTAGAGCTGTTTCTGAAGTGGCATTATGAGAATAGCACTCTGGGACGAAACAGTGGGCTCTGTTTATCAGCATTGGAGTCTATAGATGTGAGAGAGCTAGTTTTAGCATATTTTGAAGAACAGAATTTCATTTTTTTCTTAATTCCCATAGCCACTCATCTCAACAAATTACCCAGAGCGGAATGCGTCATAAAGAATACAATAAAAATACAATTAAAACAATACAAAATAAATCAATATGGTCACTGAATAAAACTATTACTATGGATGTTAATACAGCCAAATAAGCAAGGTCCTTAAGACACTCAGGACTCTGAGTTTAGGTCTGTAACTAGATCTTCACAGCCTTACAAAAAGCCATCAGGGTCATCCTATAATTTATTGAAAAGACAGGGAAAAGAGGGGGACGTCTTCAGAAATCTGGGAAATCTAAAACTTAAAATGACTTAACTTCAATAAATTGCAGTTGCAAAACAATGTAATGTTTCAAAATTGAATTCTCTACTATAAGCTTGCATTGTTCTGCATCCATTTTCTGAAAACTGCCTTTAGCAACATGTTCCTCCCAGACAAATAGGAAATGCACAGCAAGCATCCGCATTCATTCTCTGGATGTGGATCTCATATGGGTGCAAAGAAGTTTGGGTAGATCTTTCTTATCCAAACCAAGAGACACCCCAACGTCCTGATTCTCCTTGAAGGAAAGTCCCAAAAGTGTTTTTTTTCAAGGGGCAACTGGACTTTCTCGTCTTTTCTTTGAAGGCATTTCACTTCTCCTCCAAGAAGCTTCTTTAGCTCTGACTGGATGGTAGGGAATAGAAGGGTTTATATGGATGAGAAGTGAAATGTCTTCAAAGGAAAAAAATGAGAAAGTCCAGTTGCCTCTGGGCCTTTGGGACAATCACGACTGGGACGATTGAGAATCTCCATAGACCTTAATGGAAAGATATGCAGAAGAAAAGCTACCTGAGACGAGAAGGGGTTCCCAGCCTTCTCACAATCCCATGCAGATAACTACCTGGAATCATGTACCCCAGTTCCCCCTTCCTCCAGAGATACAGAAAGAGCTTCTTACATTGCCAGCAACTCTTCTCTTGTATTGTGCATCTAACTCCAGGATATCCATGGCTTCCACGATATTAAGAAATGCCGCTGGGTTTCAGAGGCCTATTACAGTTGTACCTTGCACTGGTGGTGGACTTTCATCTTCCACACTGCAAGGCCCCAAACGGATAGCAAGACGCTCAATTCTCCTCGCCCTCTCTGTGCTTGTTACGACATTGGCAAGGTCAATCTTTCTTTGGCACAGTGTAAACTTGATGGGGCTTTTTTGAGAGGCTAAGGGGATAAAAGGAGTTTGCTTGAATATAACTGGGGTGTCCATAGCAATTTCCCTAGCTACAGCAGAAGGGGGTGGGTCTCGGCAAACAATATTCTGATGGTGTTTGAGTTCTTGATAACTCATCACTCTGCATGTATCTGAAAAGCTGAGCTTGCTTGTTTTCTTGCAGATGTTTCCTTGCCAAACTAGGTAACATAAACAGGACAGAGAGACAGAGAGACAATGTCAGAAGAATAGTTTGGGGTTCCAACTCGAGCCAGGGTTGCAGAAGAATAAATAAAAATGAGATACAGACAAGTTGTGAGGAAAGAAGTCATTTTTATTCCTAAAAGCAAATAGCAAAAGCAAAAAGTTTGCCCTTAGGAGCAGTTGCAGAAAAATGAGATGCAGCAACAAAGTTTTATAGGGCTTGTCCAGGGTGTGGAAGTGTCTACGTCAGGGGTGACAAACTCAATTTCATTGAGGGCCTCATCAGGGTTGTGTTTGACCTTAGGGAAGTGTGGTAGGCCTGGCCAAGGTAGGCGAGGTCAGCTCAATGTCACTCATGTTGGGAGTGCCTATGGTGGCCCAAGCACTCTGCCAGCAAAAACATGATTCCAAGCCCCGTTTTCTGCTGCGATGGCCTCCTGCAATCATCTGCCAGAGAAAACATAGCTTGGGAGGACTGCATGCGACCACGGGCCACATCTAAGTACTGTACCCCATGGGCCGGATCCAGCCCCCAGGCCTTGAGTTTAACACCCCTACATGCTGACTTACTTGAGGGGTGTACTTTGAGTAAAATATTTCCCCATTTGGTATTTAATTTAATTTCAGCTTAACTGTCAATAATTGAGACTCTGGATTATCAGCCTATTGTGGATTCTGTTAATGTTTTAAAGGAAGATGGAAACAGTATAAACAATAAAAATATATTTTGATATAAATCTTCTCATGATGATTGTAGGTAGGTAGGTAGGTAGGTAGGTAGGTAGGTAGGTAGGTAGGTAGGTAGGTAGGTAGGTAGGTAGGTAGGTAGGTGGGTAGGTAGCAGTGATGTGCGGTGAGGTTTATGGCTGGTGAGGCAAAAAGAAAGAAAGCGGCTTGACAGCAGACAAAAAGAGATTTAAAGGAGGAGAAGCTACTGGGAGGGGGAGGGCCGGTGCAGGGAGAAGGAAGGTGCCCGCCCAGGCTGTATTCTTAGGGAACTGACGGAGGGAACGAGAAT